ATGAATGTCTTCGCTCTTATTTTGACTCAAATTTATGGCGGAATGCGATGGAAAAAAAGTAGAGGCCAACAAAATAAAATAAAATGAATAAATAATAAATGAAAATAAAAGTAAAGATAAAATAATAGAGAAATGCTTTGATTTTCCTTAAACACATTTGAATATTTATGTTAAAAATAGCAAAAATTAAATACAATAACTTACAATAAAATCGAGCAATAAAAGAAAGAAAAAAAACCGGGCACCTTTCAGTTCATATATTTGGCCTTTATGCAGTTGCAAAACCTGCAACCAATACATAGCTTCATGCTCAGTTATATTTCTATTCCCTTGTGGGATGTATTATTTCGAAATCTATTAAGGGGAGGAGGGGTTATTAAACCCATTCCACCAGATCTGCTAAAACGGCTAACAACTAAATGTAGGGAACGAACAAAGAGACAGACATGAAAAAATATCATTTGATCACTGAAACAATTACCTTGTTTGTATTCACATGTAAACATTCTGAATGCTCTACAGTCAATGTCGTCGAATAATCCCCATCCTTTATAGTATTTTATCACTTTAACACAATCTCCACTTCCATCTGGTTCGTGAGGCATCCATTTATCAATGGTCATGTCATGTCCACTTATCCACTGCCAGTAGTAAGTTCCTGATATTCTCTTCAAACCAATATACCACTCGTTATTTCCTACATCTAGACTTTGTATCGTCTTGTTGATAAACTGATACTCCTCTTCTGTTTCCATGGATACCAATGTTCCGTTATTATCTTGACAAATCTTATTGCTATCTTCCCAATTCCTTGGAATTTTGTGGAATGAATAGCAGGAACAGTCACCGATTTCTATAAAATTGACACAGTGAGAAATTTATTTCCTTTCTTTAATTTCAACGCTAGTTTTCTTATTCCGGTTGCTAGTTTTCCCATGGTTCTCAATACTATACGGTACGAATAGTGATTCTCTTATACGCCAGGAGGTCCGGAACGGCCTCGGTCCAAATCCTCAAGATCTCGGGTACAGTTTTATCCCTATTCCAACCGACTTAAGGACTGTAAATTATTTACTTATTTTTCACCACTTTACTTTCCCAATTGTTTTGTAATTTGTTTTGTTGTTTTACCAAAGGATCAAAGTTGGCGCAACGTAACGGTAGTGCACTAACTCAGTTCGTTAGATTTTTCTCCGGGCTTTCTTCCGTGCCCTGACTTTGAAAAGCCAAAAGGTTGTTTCAAGGGTTCAATCTGTGATCATGAGTTGGCGGTATCCCGATTTTAGTCAGCTCAGAGGTTGTTTCAGGGAATCGATCTTCACAGTACCGTGATGTCAATTTTTATGATTACCACAGTCATGTCCAAACACTTTAGTTGGATAAGCAGTAAATAGTTCAGTAGTGGTCGTCCGTAAAGACCCCTCGCATGTAGTGACCTCAAGCAGCTCAAATTGGAGGACAAAAATAAATAGATAAAAAGAATTTCAATCTCACGAGAAATGGAAACTTATTGTTATATCCTCAAAATTGAGCTGCATTTCCACGTTCTGCAAGGGGTCTATTTCAGATGTCTTTGATGGGCAATACATTTCCCCTTTTTAAAATGGGGGACTTTAAGCAATTCGTTGTATAATAATATTAAATAAATTTTTCTTTAGTCTCCAAGACTGTACTCACCAGTAGTAAATATACTCTCCCACTGCCATACGATAAGTAACAATGTGATAGCTACGATACCGCGTGGCGAACGATATCCCATTTTTTTCCTGATCTGGATGATTTTACTGTTAGATGTTCCTGAAAACGCAATCAGCAATTGTCATTCCAAACCAAACACACCAGACTATTATACGGCATTATATCTGATAAATACTACCTCAGTTTGAATCCATTGATTCACTTAGTAGTGGTGCCGTTCTCAACAATGGACATCATTGAAGTTGTTAAAAAAGTGTATAATTGCCTTGTTTTCAATAAGGGGCATGTACATCGGCGATGTCAGAATTCATGTCAAGACACAATTGTCAGGCAAAAGGCATTCGGAGGTGTATAGTAAGAAATTCAATGTCCAGTTAGGTACTGGATATATTTGGATAGCGTGACGCCAAAAAAATCAGGACCTTTCTCATTATTGTTTCTGACGGCGGGACAAGTCTTTTAGAATGTAGTGTGCAATATAAACTTACAGTGAAAAAACAAACAAACAAACAAACAAAAGTTGTATGCAATTTATACAATGCCACAAGAGTAACAGCACTTTGATATTACAGAATATGTTGCCGTTATCAATTGAATAAGTTACTGACATAGCCCACTCGGAATGCGGCATCTCCTAAATAACGACGACTATAAATAAGCGAACTATAAAATATTAATCACCTTTTGTTTATCTTGTTAGTATCCAAACCGCCCACTCTAGGTTTATAACAATGCACAAATATCCAAGAGGCGCTGATAATGACTGTTTATATCTTAATWAAAATCAATATTTCAAGTCAGAAGAAGATTAAAAGAGCATGTGCTTTTCTGATTGGTTCCCAAGCGAAACAAGTGAGAAAGATTCAGCAAAGGAAAAGTAGAGACTGAAGCATGAGTCAGAGTCCATAGTATATGAGAGTATAATTTTACTTATTCAAATACCCGACCCTTTGAGTTGAATAACGTTTTGTCATGCATCAAGCCCTCACATACTGAGGTTGACATTCAATTACATATTCTCAAAATCTGTACAAGTGGTTTTGTTAAATGAAGCTTTTAATAAAGAGGAAGTCTTATTTATGATAGAAGCAGCAATCTGTCACTTTTCCTGCTATCATCAACTTGACCGCGTATCTTTCGCTTTCCATGTTCAACCCCAGCCCTTACACATTACATTTTAAGTCGATCATCTGACAAAAAAAAATTGAAACAGTTTTATTTCCTTTTTTTCAATAAGTCTACTTTTGAAATATCCACGAGGCTAAATATTTTTCTATAAATT